TAAAGATTTACAGCCTCGGAAACCCTGTGCAGGGTCACTATGAGTCGGAACTAACTCCACGGTACTTAACAACAACAACAACTCTACATAGCTGTTGTTAAGTGCTGTTAAGTCGGTTCCGACCAATAGCGACTCTGTATAGGATTTCCGAGGAGCAGCTGGTGAGCCTGAACCTCCGATCTTGTGGTTCAAACCAACTTTGCATTCCGGCTCATTAACACACAGTGCCACACAGCGCTACACAGAAATATATATTCCTCCAGGGTCTGGTCCCGACAGGTAATATGTCCAAGTATGTTAAAAGTGGCAGTGGATCTAACCAAAATGAAGTCTTTGACAACTTCAATCTTTTCTCCATTTATCAAGATGATATTTATTGGTTTAGTTGTGAGGCTTTTTGTTTTCTTTATATTGTCAAATAAAATGTGTGACCTTTAATAAGCAATTCAAGGAATAGAAGATTTAAGCTTTAGAGAACTTCTAAAGATACTTTAATTCTCTTTGTTGTTGTTAAGTGCGATAGAGTCGGTTCCCACTCATAGTGGCCCTGTATAGGGTTTCCGAGGCTGTAAATCTTTACTGGAGCAGAAAGTCTCATCTTTCTCTCACTAAACGGCTGGTAGTTTCGAACTGCTGACCTTGAGGTTAGCAGCCCGATTAATAACCACTATGCTCCTTTTATAGTGTAGAGTATTTACACTGTTGTTGTTGTTGTTATGTGCTGTGAAGTTGGTTCCGACCCATAGCAACCCTGTATAGGGTTTCCAAGGAGCTACTGGTGAGCTTGAACCACCGACCTTGTAGTTCAAACGGCTTTGCGATCTGGCACATTAACCCACAGTTCCCCCATATTTAGTTCAAACCACACATGTAAAATGAACAACCAGAATACTTATATGTATGTGTATGAAAATTGCTAAGTGCTGTCAAGTGAATTCTGACTCATAGTTACCCTGTACAGGGTTTCCAAGGAGCAGCTGGTGAGTTTGAACTGCCAGTCTGTGGTTTCGTAGTCCAGTGCTGATCCTACAGTACCACACTAGGAGTTCATGTATGAAAATGTTGTTGTTGTTAAGTGCCGTCGAGTCGGTTCCGACCCATAGCGACCCTGTACAGGGTTTCCGAGGGTGTAAATCTTTACTGGAGTAGAAAGCCTTATCTTTCTCCCACGGAGCAGCTGGTAGTTTCAAACCGCTGACCTGAAGGTTTGCAGCCCGAATCGTAACCACTACGAATAGACTCAGCAAAATGAGCTATCATTCCATAGTAGTTTCTATACATACTGATCATGATGCTGGTTAAATGCTTCACTTTGTGTCAACATTTTTGTTACTTTTGTTCTAGTTGTTTAGCCAGTATACTTCTTAATGCGCTATTATTGTCAGCATAATGATGCCCCATGAAGCACAAAGAAATAGGAAATTATGATTATGCTTAATTTTGACTGAGTCCTTTTAATTTGCTGATTCTTTTGAAAAATCTGTCCATGTTATTGTTGTTATTAAATGCCATTGAGTTCGTTGACCCATAGTGACCCATAGTATAGGGTTTCTGAGGAGTGGCTGGTGGTTTTGAACCATTGACTTTGCAGTTCACACTGACCTTGCAGTTCAGCTTATCATCCTGCCACACCAGTTCTATCATAATTATTTCACTTCATAATGGTCATTGTTTTATAAAACAACTTGAGAAAATTAGGTAAAATAATTCAAAATAAAGATGGCGGTAGCAGTTATATGCTGTGGAGTCGATTCCGACTCACAGTGACTCTGTATAGGGTTTCTATGACTGTAAATCTTAAATGGAGCAGAAAGCCTTATTTTCTCCCTAGGAACCGCTGGTAGTTTCGAACTGCAGACCTTGAGATTAGCAGCCCAAAGTAACCACCATGCTCCTTAAAACAAAGACAAGGCAGTACATTTCTTAATTACACCCTACTAAGGCGGCTATTACCAGAAAAATGACAATTTTCTTACACTGCTGGTGGGAATACAAAATGGTATTGCTGCTGTGGAAAATAGTTTGGCAGTTCTTCAGAAAATTGAACATAAAATTACCATATGACCAAACAATTCCATTTCTAGGTATATAGCTAAAAGAATCAAAACCAAAAGAAGAAACAGATACGTGTACACAGACCCACTGCAGCATTATTCACAACAGTCAAAGGGGAAACAACAACCTTAAATAGTTCTTTTTTAATTAACAAAAAAGAAATCAAGGAATTGAAGGTAACCTGATTTAACTTTGGATTATTTTTTGATTTATGAATAATTTCATATTGAAATTTTAAACTAATTTTCATCCTTTTATAAAATAATGAAGCACAGTCCGTTTCAAAGTATAAAAGAACTGCTAGAAACAGAAGCTCTATTTTGTACATTATAACTTGAGTCTTAAGTTTATCTAGGTGATTATTTATGAAACATCAAAAATGATCTGGATTGTTCTCACTGTTTAGAATTTTATACACACCACTTATTCTTTGATTTTAAACAAAGTGTCATTTTCAGAAAATACTGACCCACCTTACTTTACATGGCAACACACAAACAGCTATTATTACCATTACTGCGTAGCTTAGAAAATGTCACTCATAGAACTCGCCCATTTTCAAAGTCCTGGCCTTTGGCCTATTTTAAGTTTCGTTAATTTTATTGCTTTCTAATTTCATCTTTATTCCTGAAAACAGATGATTTATTTATTTATTTTCAAGTGAAGGTTCTCTATTTGCATTCGTTTTTAAATCTGAGTATAAAAACGGCAAGGTCCGGTCATTTATATAGGCTCTCGATCAGGTACGTAATTTTAAAGAGAGACATTAAGGTTATATTACCAATAGAGAAACCTGTCTGACAGGAAGCAGTGATGATGCTATTATTATTCACATGAAAACATTCACTGGCACGTTGATCCTGTTTTGTACGATCATGATCATTATTTTTCTTTTACGTTTCTATAGAATGTTGGCCACAACTTCCGCGCACTGTTTCCTTGCGCCTGAAACCTTTTATGAACTTCCTGACCCTAAAAAAAACAGGTGCGGAGCTTGGTGAGTCGAGGAAGCTTTCAGGTGAGCCCTGTAGACTTGCATGTGAGCCCTACACACCTACAGGTGAGCCGTGGCAGCACTGACTAACGTGGGTTAGCCTAACCAGATCTGGATGCTGCGCGCCGCCCAGCGGCCGGGCTGCCTGCGGAAGGAAGGCGCGCGACTGAGCGGAGGAGACGGGTGGCGACCGGCAGAGCTGGGCGCGTGGGGCGGCGCGGCAGAAGCTGGCTTTCCCGGCCGCGCTTACGCTCCCCTTGTCGCTGTGGACTGAGCTCTGGTCATGTCCTGGCGCCGTGCGTTTCTGGTTGGGACGCGGCTTGCCAGGCACGGAAACAGGAACAACTCGGCTGGAGGTCTCCGCGGGACGGCGAGAGCAGCAGCCTCTGGGTACTAGGAGCGCGGAGGCCTCGTGTGTTCCGCGGCACGGTGGGCGGGGGAGTTGCTTCCGCCGCTGCCGGCTGGGCCCTGAGTTCACCCAGGCGGAGGCCATAGGAAGGCGGCGGCCGTGGAGGGCCCAGATAGAGTAGGGGCAGAGCGGCTGCTGCTGGCGCTAGGAAGGGTACCCAAGTGGTGGTGTCTGATTTAGCTTTCTGGATTCTCGAGATAAAAGTACTTGATTATTGTTCATTTGAACCCCACTGTGAGTTGTCAGATAAAACATAGGACTCCCAGTTAAATTAGAATTTCAGATAAGCAGTGAATGACTAGTCCAAATATTGCATGGGGCATTCTTGGACTAAATGATTATTCACTGTTCATGTGAAACTTTTAGCCCTGCGTCCTGTATTTTTGTTTCCTCAAAACTTTCATCTCTACCTCGGGAAATGAAGGTAACTCTTTAAATGGCTAAATTGTTGAGCAAAGCCGGGACTAAGGTGTTCAGTTGAGGTCTTTGGCTAGGTGGAGCACAGTTCTCATATCTGCACTTCACTGCATTTACATCAGTCTCTGTAACAGTCTCTTCCTACTTGCTTGATTTAATAGTATTTTGTGTTAAGTGCACTAATAGACAGTGAATGGAGTGTTGAACAAGAAATCTTTTTATCAAAATTTAACGTTTGCAACATAATCATGAAAAAATTATTTTAAAAATATCTGAACCTTTGATTCTTAATCCTACTTTACCCTTATATATTTGAATATTTCTCTTTTGAACCATTAAATAATTTTACAAGATTTTTAGTTTTACTCTGTAGTTTGCATCATAGTGTTGAATGTTATTTCAACATTATATTAGGGCCCAGAAAGATGAAGTGGATGGGGAAGAGTTCTAGAGGTAAGCAGAGAGATTTCCATGATGTTAAATTGGTCAGTTTTTTATGGATATTTACTGTTACAATGTATACCCCAGCTCTCAACAACTGGGTCTTTCATAATAAATACTGAGGCAAAGGGGATCCCTGTAATCAGTAAATAATTATGTAAAACATGATTCAGCATTTACTGTGTGTCATTATTCAGCATTTATATGTCAGGCACTGTTCTGCTTTTGCATATCCACTCATTTGATTCTCACAAAACCCTTTGAGGTTGGAATGATAATTGTTCTCACTTTACAGATACGGAAATTTTGAGCTATGAACCATTATGATTAAGATATCTGGTTGTTAGCTGCCTCTGTATGTGTTACTGAGCAGAACTGCTCTAAAAGGTTTTCTTGACTGTAATCTTTACAGAAGCAGATTATTAGGCATTTTCTTCTGTGGAGTTTTGCTGGGTGGGTTTAAACTGCCAATGTTTTGTTTAGCTGTTGAATGCAAACCTCTTATACTCCCCTGTGGTTCCTTTCTGATACTTTGTTGTTTTTGTTAAGTGCCTCTATAGGGTTTTGGAGAGCAGCTGGTGCGTTTGAACCACTGCTAACCTTTAATTTTAAAAAAATCTCTAGATTTTGTATGCTCCTTGCTTCAGAGAGTGTTCATGGAGTTTTGGAATGTTTTAATAAGAATATAGAAACTGTATTTTTTAATTGAAGGTCAGGTCATATGGCCAGGCAATATAAGAGATAATATTTGAAATGGAGTGACCATAAGAATGTATGAAGCTTTAAACCCAGTAAATGTGTTTTTATAAAGTAGTTATGAGCTTTGGGAGGCTAGTTAGATGAGAACACAAACCCTTTTTGTTTTATTTGTGTATTTTGGATTAACTGAAGATTTACTTAAATCAAAAGTACATTCAGTTGTTGTTTAAAAACTTAATATAAGATATTTAATATTCGATCCAAATCTCCTTTCTAGCAAAGTTTTTCTTTCCTATACTTGTAAATTTGAAAACAATGCTGGAAGAGCAAGGGTCCCAAAGTAAAACACAGCTCCTAAGAATGAAGTCTTAGGAGTGGGTCTAACATTGGGATAGATATTTCTTGATCTTGCATAGGTCCAACCAGTCAAGGCCGAATCTCTGATGAACACTCAGCATTTGGGGTCCTTGAACTGGAGCAGTTACTCCTGTTTAAGCCAGGATCTTATGGCCAGGCACTTACATTGGGCCCACTGGATCTCTGGAGATAATAACATATTTGGCTGGGTAGAATGGTCAGGTCTGATCATTTGTACTTTGGGAACCCCCTTTTTGTTTTAGTAAACAGTTATTTTGCATTAATAATATGTAAAAAAATTTTTTTTCTATTTCATAAGTTTGGGCATATGTTTGCACGTATATACAAAAACCTAATTATTTTCTTCAAACGGCATGTGTGATAGTATTTTTAATACTTAATAAATTGCATTGTGCTTTTTAATTCATTTTAGGATGGGGAGTAGCATATCATCATGGTGGGGGAAATCAGCAACGGCTCCTGTGAACCAGATCCAAGTGAGTGATAGAAGAGACAAGGCAAACATTTTCATCTCTGGAAAAAGAATTGTATCATATATAATGAATATGCTCAATCAGTATCCAAGCTTGACATTTCTATAGTTCAGCAAATGAATTACTAAATTACATTTTGAAATATCTGCTGTCAAATTCATTCATTTGAAAAATGTAGACATTTTAGTAGTCAAAATGCATATGCTTTACTTCTAATGGCATCTGCTAAGTCAGCTGTTTGAGGCTGGCTTCTTTTCATTATAGATGGTTTATGTGTTGGGCTCTAATCACAAGGTCATCAGCAGTCTGAATCCATAACTAGCTGCTCTTTAGAAGAACGATGAGATTTTCTGCTCCTATAAAGATGTACAGCCTCAAAAACCCTATACAGAGTCACTATGAGTCAGAACTGACTTGATGGCATGCAGCAGGACCTCCTCAAATCCATAACTAACACTAAGCAAGTTGCCTTAGACCAGAGATACTGTCTGACTCTGACCTGGGCAGCTATTTCACAGCTTTCCCCTGTAACATAGAACCCAGCATGGAATAAACCAGAAACCAAACCCACTACCAGTAAGTTAACTCCTATTCGCAGTGACTCCATGGGTTACAGAGCGGAACTGCTGCGTAGAGCTTTCTTGGCTGTAATCTTTATGTATGCACATTGCCATGCCTTTTCTTCCACAGCACCACTGGATGAGTTGGAGCCACCAGCCATTTTTAGATGAGTAGATAAGCATTGAAGCACTGTGGGTTAATGCGCCAAACTGCAAAGTTGTTTGAACTGTAAGGTTGGTGGTTCAAGCTCACCAGCTGCTCCTTGGAAACCTTGTTCAGGGTCGCTATGGGTCGGAATTGACTCGACGTTACTTAACAACAACAACAGATAAGCATAAGGAGTCCTGGTGTGGTGCTGTGGGCTAACGTATCACACTGCAAAGTTATTTAAACTGCTGGGTTGGCAGTTCAAGCTCACCAGCAGCTCCTTTGGAAACCCTATATAGGGTCGCTAACAACAACAACAACAACAACAACAACAGTTAAGCATTAACTGTGTACCCTTCCTTCCCAGGGACCTAACACGTAACAGGTGCTTCTTAAGTGATCCTTCAGAGTTATCATGCACTACTGTATTCTCTTGTTTTTTTTTTTCTTTCATTGCTATATTCAGTCAGTTCTGCCTTAGAGAATTTCTTTTGTATATATTTTTTTCTTTTACAGGCTAGAAATCATGCTCATTTTTTTCTAACCAATGTTATCAATTATATTTGGAATGAAAAATATAGATGTAAGAGACTTTTAGTGCGAGCCCTGAACCACCAGACTTTCAGATCCATGCCCTTCCCACTAGATCATGCTTTTTCTTTTCAAAAGGTAATGCCTGGAATTAAAGTGATTTTTTTCTTTTGTTTTTGTTTCAGGAAACAATTTCAGATAATTGTGTGGTGATTTTCTCAAAAACATCTTGCTCTTATTGTACAATGGCTAAAAAGCTTTTCAATGACATAAACATTAACTATAAAGTAGTGGAATTGGACATGCTTGAATATGGAAACCAGTTTCAAGACGCTCTTTTCAAAATGACAGGTGAAAGAACTGTGAGTATATCCTCTGTGGTACCGTTTCCCAGGAATAATAGACGTGGATCATCACCCAGCACATAACCCTCTTGGGGGATGTTTCTCTGAAGAGTTTATATTGGTTAAGAAATATAAGATCTGGGGATCAGATTCTTAGAAGAGGAAACAGTAGAGTTAATTCATTTTATTATTACTTTCATTGTGTGTGTATATTTTGACTGGGACACATGAGGTAATGATGTTGTCATGAACAAATGTTTATGATTCTTTAAGGTCCTCGTGGAGCTTTTCTCAAGATGAAACTATTCTTTCTTGGACAACGTAGAACAGGGTCAGTCTTCAGTTACTAGACTAAGAGGAATGCTATCTTGTTTTCGCTAAGTGCCAATGAGTTGGTTCTGACTCATAGCGACCCTGTATAGGGTTTCTGGGGAGCAGCTGATAGGTTTGAACCTCCTACCTTGCAGTTAGCAGTCCAGTACTTACCCTACAGCACCATACCAGGACTTTAGGAGTGCTTCAGTTTTCCACATTTTGTGTTTTTTTTCCATAGGTTGTTTCCCCATAATATGTATAATCAGAAACATATAAATTATTGTATTTTCTTTGTTTACATTTACATTGTGATTTTTTGATTGTGAAGTGCCGTCGAGTTGATTCCGACCCATAGCGACCCTGTACAGGGTTTCCAAGGGTGTAAATCTTTACGGGAGTAGAAAGCCTCATCTTTCTCCCGCGGAGCGGCTGGTAGTTTTGAAGTTTATAGTATAATCGCTACCCCTTAGTAAAACAGAAAGAATTGTTGTTGTTGTTGTTAAGTGCCGTTGAGTCGGTTCCGACCCATAGCAACCCTGAACAGGGTTTCCAAGGCTATAAATCTTTACGGGAGCAGAAAGCCTCATCTTTCTCCTGTGGAGCAGCTGGTAGTTTCGAACTGTTGACACATAAATATAAATAATTAGAGGATATTTTATTTTACCTATTGCTATGGGTCGGAACCGACTCGACGGCACTTAACAACAACAACAACAACAATAGTTCTAAGGAGCCCTGGTGGCACTGTTGGTTGGGCAAGGTCAACAGTTCGTACCCACTAGCTACTCTTCTGGACAAAGATGAGGCTGTCTGCTCTCATAAAGATTTACAGTCTCAGAAACAATGTGTTGGGTCACTGTGGATCGTAACTGATTTGATGGCAATGGTATTATGCAGTCCTGTGTGGTACGAATGTTTAAGCACTTGACTATTAACCAAAAGTTTAGCAGTTAGAAACCACCCAGATGCTCCTTGAAAGACAGGCTTGAAGATCTACTTCTAAAAGCCTTGACAACCTCCGAAACAGTTCTCTGCACGGATAAAGTAGCCATAAGTCAGAATCAACTCGATGGCAATTAACAGCCACAGCATTATGTAGCATTAAGAACAGGGCGTTACAGTCGGATGTCCTAGATCTGCATCTCAGCTATTATCACTGTGACCTTGGCCAAGTTCCTGTATCTCAGTTTCCTGCAAAATAGGACCAAAAATAGTACCTGTAAAGATTTAAAGAGATAATTTATGAAAGATCTTTGTGTGGTCCCCAGCTCATAAAAGTACCCAGTCCTGATAAACTGTATTAGTATATGAAATTGTCTTCTATTTCTGATCATAGTGGGAAACCTAATTTATTGTGTGTATTCAACAGGTTCCAAGAATATTTGTCAATGGAGCTTTTATTGGAGGTGCAACAGACACTCACAGACTTCATGAAGAAGGGAAATTGATTCCACTAGTCCATCAGTGTTATTTAAAAAAAAGTAATAGAAAAGAATTTCAGTGATGGAGTTATTCGTAACTTTCCTAATAAAATATCAGTTATTTAAAGTGTTAATGCTTGATAATGCCTTTTAAATGTTTGAAGATGATTTAAATATATGAATTATCATCACAAAAGACTAAGGTATAGAAAATAATGAACAATAAATTCCTGCTGAAACCTCATCTTTTTATTTGCCAGTTCTTGAGCAAAAGAGATGGAATGCAGTTAAGTAGAAAGTTTGTATTATTAGGTATTTATATATAAAATTTATAACCGAGCTCTAGATAGTAGGTTATATGCCTAACCCATGTAGGGGTATTTTATAGCATGTTGTAACAAGTTTCATACTTAGTATTTCCAGAGTAATAGAACTTTAGTAAATTTGTAGAAGAGAACAGAAGTTATCTTGTTTTTGTTGTTAAGTATTGTCAAGTCGAATTGGTTCCGACTCATAGTGACCACGTATAAAGGTTTCCAAGGCTTTAAATCTTCAAGGGAATAGAATGCCTCATCTTTCTTCCTCAGAGTGGCTGGAGGGCTTGAACCACTGACCTTGTGGTTGTGAGTTCAGTGCTTATTTTATGGAACCACTGTGTTCCTGAAAGTTATCTTAGAGAAACAAAATGATTCATTTAATGACTTTCTAGTTCTGGAAGCAGAACTTTATCTATGAGCAGAATTAAAAGTAGGCACATGTCAGCATGTTATAAGGATGAACTTTTGAAATAGTTCAGAAATATACTTAAGTTATAAGATGTGAAGAGTTTTGACTTCTTGAACGTTGAAACTCTGCTTGGAAATGTTTCACAAGAAATTCAGGTATTGGATAGAAGGTTTGACTTGATAGCCTATAAAGCAAGTTTTGATATAAAGCCATTTGATTCTGCAGTTCTGTGACTGGGAATATTATTCTGACTGATTTTATTTCAGATAAAGTTAAGATTTATCCTATAGAAGTCTTGAGAATAAAGAAAATTTTCTAAGGTATTTTATTAATCAAGACATAACTCCTGCTTCTTTTCAACAATTTTTTAAATGTCTACAAAGCAGTTTCCTGGTTGATTCCACAGAGCCATACTGGCAGATCATCAGATTCAGAAAAGAGCTTAGAAGTGATAGGAAAATGGATTTTAAGGTAAATGCTGCTTTCTGGTCAAGATGTTCCAGGAAGTCTGGGACAGTTCTGAGGAAGACAACCAGTGGCTTTCTTGACCATTTGCCATCAAAAGTGCTTCTTTAATAGATTTATGACACTGTCATTAAGAGATCTCATTAAGCAAGAATTTATGTGACTTTTTTCCCATGTGATCATTTATTTAAGTTACAAAAATGATACAGGACAGAGAATGCAATGCTTTTTGGTCCTTGTATTTTACATTATGTTTTGAGAAATTTTACATGGCATGCTGTGATGTAAAATCTTTGTTAGAGAATAAAAGAAATATCTTACATATGAGAAAAGCAAAATTGTAAATGTCTGTCATCATTGTTAATTATATTAGTTATCAAAGGTTTTCAAGATGTAGGAACACAGACCAAATGGTGTTGACAGTGCTTGACTGAAAAAACATTTTACAAACTCTTCCTAGATTGGTAGGATGGTGAAAGCAGGTGAGTGGTTGGTTCTTAACTATACTTAGGCCTTGAAATAATTCAGCATTAAGAAGAGAAACTCTTGTCATCAAAAGGCTTAACAATTCCATAGCATGTAACACCTACCAGGGTGAGTTAAAACTTATCCAAACTCTGGCTATGTTGAACTGCCCGTTCACATCCGCGGATGATAACATTACCATGCATATGAAAAGATTCTGCTGAATAGATGAGTGACAGTGGATTATGTGGCAAGTCATTTGCAAATCAACTGTGGCTCTGCCTATGATATAATCCATGACAAATTTAGCTTTAAAAAGTTTGTGTGAGATGAATACCGAAACAACTCATGAAAAAGCAGAAGCAGAAGCGTTTGGACATTTGCAAACAAAATTTGGACCCATACGCAGAATAAGATAAAAATTTCTTTTAAACAGTTGTTACTGGTGATGAGACATGAATTCATCACTACGAGCCAGAGAGTACAAACAGCAGAATATGGACTGGAAACATCCTCAATCGCTGACCAAGAAAAAGTTCAAAAGTCAATCATCATCTGGAAGATTGATGCTTACAGTTTTCTGGGATTTTCAAGATTTCCAAGTATTGGAATACTATTAGGAAAAAGGCTCAGCATTCAACAGTGCTCCTTTAACAGTGAGATGCTTACCGAGGAGCTGAATCTTAAATCTAAGATTAAACACAGAGGACTACCATGCAAGGGTATTGTGATCTTGCATGAGAATTCACATCCCCCTACCCCTGCCCATACTGTTGACACTCTGCAAAAACTTCGTTTTGAATATGTTACAGTATCCTGCCTATAGCCCTGGTCTTTTTCCATCAGACTTTCACCTGTGTAGTCCCCTGAAAGCAGCCCTTCAAGGATGAAGATTCACCTCTGATGAAGTGAAGACGGCGGTGCATTCGTGGCTCACAGCTCAGTCTAAAACATTTTTTAATAAGGGAATACGAAAGTTTGTTGACAGATGGACAAAGTGTAGTGAAAAGCAAGGAGATTATTTCGAAAAAGGATGTATGTGTCTTTTCTAAAAGTTGTTTAAAACAAATTCTACAGCCAGAGTGTGGGTAATTTTTGACATGGACTCATAGTTATTACTTATGACTTAATTTAACAAAGGGAAAAGAAGCTTCTCTAATGTCTGCTTTTTAGTGTTCTGAACATTATACTTAATGATTAATAAAGATTTGGGTTCCAGCATGATCTTTAAAAGGAAGCACTTAAGAAAGTAGGACTTGAACACGCTTGGAAACAATTAGTTCAGTGGACACATGGACCATTTGAACATAAGTCTCCATATCCCTGAGACCAGAAGAGCTAGATTTTGCTTTGCTACCACTATACGTAAGGAGCTCTGCCAGCATAGTGATTACGAATCGGGCTGTGAACCGCAAGGTCAGCAGTTCGAAACTACCAGCCACTCCGCGGGAGAAAGATGAGACTTTCTGCTCCCGTAAAGATTTACAGTCTCAGAAACCCTGTACAGGGTCACTATGAGTCGGAACTGACTCGACGGCACTTAACAACACCAACCACTATACGTGCTCTGAAAGGGATTACATTAGAAAATAAATTAATCTGGGAAAATTGGAAGTTGTCAAAATGAAATGGAATGCATAAGCATTGATATCTTAGGCATTGCCGTTGTTGTCAAGTGCCATCGAAACAGAAACCGACTCATAGCAACCCCAAGCACAACAGAACGAAACAGAGTCCGATCTTGGACCAACCTCACTACCTCGCTACTGCCACACTTGAGTACATCAGTGCTGCCACCTGGTCAATCCATCTCGTTGGGGGTCTTCCTCTTTTTCTCCTACCCTCCATTTTACCAAACATGATATCCTTCTCCAGCGACTGTTCACTCCTGACAATATGTCCAAAGTATGAGAGACGAAGTTTAGCCATCTTGGCCTCTAAGGAGCACTCTGGCTACACTTCTTCCAAAACAGAACTATTGGTTCTTTTGGCTGCCCATGGCACTTTTAGTATTCTCCAACACCACAATTCAAAGGCATCAATTTTTCTATGATCTTCCTTATTCACTGTCCAGCTTTCACATCCATATGAAGTTATTGAAAATACCATGGCTTGGGTCAGGAGCACCATAGTTCTCAAGCTGACATCTTTGCTCTTCAACACTTTAAAAAGTTCCTGTGCAGCAGATTTGCCTAAGGCAATAATATTAGGCATTAGTGAGCTGAAATTAGTGACTGGTATTGGCCATTTTGAGGTTTGTGTCAGGTACACCTTAGACCTCAAACTGATATCTTTGCTTTTGTACACTTTAAAGAGGTCTTGTGCAGCACCTTTGCCTAATGCAATATGTCATTTGATTTCTTAACTGCTATTTCCATAATTATTGATGGGGAATCCAAGCAAAATGAAGTCTTTGAGAATTTCAATCTTTTATCATGATGTTATTTATTGGTTCAGTTATGAGGATTTTTGTTTTCTTTACATTGAGGTACAATCCATACGGAAGGCTGTGGTCTTTGATCTTCATCAGTAAGTATTTTAAGTCCTCTTTGCTGCCCTCAAAAAGGTTGTGTCATCTGTGAATTGCAGATTGGTAATGAGTCTTCCTACAATCCTGATGCCATGTTCTTTTTCATAGAATCCATTTTTCAGATTATTTGCTCAACATACAGATTGGGTAAATGTGGTGAAAGAATACAACCCTGATACCTTTTTATTGATTTTAAAGCATTCAGTATCCCCTGTTCTGTTTGAACAAATGCTTCTTGTGCTGTATACAGGTTCCTCATGAACATGATTAAATCTTATAGAATACCTACTCTTTGTAATGGTATCTATAGTTTATTATGAGCTACACAGTTAAAAGTCTTTGCATAGTAAATAAAGCACAAGTAAACATCCTTCTGGTATTCTCTACTTTCAGCCAAGATCCATCTGTCATTAGCAATAATATTCCTAGACCCAGATGCTCTTCTGAATCAGGCTTGAATTTCTGGCAGTTTCCTGTTGGTCTACTGTTGCAACCGTATCTGAATAATATTTAGGAACAGTTTATTTGCACATGATATTAATTATATTGTTCAGTGGTTCCACATTACATTAGGTCACCTCTCTTTTGAAAGGGCACGTATATGAACCTTTTGTAACAGGTTGGCCAAGGTAGTAGCTGTCTTCCAAATTTCTTGGCATAGATAGATAAGTGTGTGCCTCCAGTGCTGCATGTGTTTTGAAATACTTCAATTTGTTTTCTATCAGTTATTGGAGTCATGTTTTTTCCTTCAGTGCAGTTTGGATTTCTTTCTTCTGTGCCATTGGTTCTTGATCATAAACTACCTCTTGAAATGGCTGAACATAGACCATTTCTTTTTGGTAGTGACTGTGTATTCCTTCTATCTTCTTTGGACAAAGTAAAGAGTTTTATTTAGATGACTGTGATTTTTTTTGGGGGGGGATGGTAAATATGGCTTTTTTTCCTCCGGCTTTACACCATCATTTCATTGCAATGATTAAAATTTCCTCCGTGCACCATTTTTCAACAGTATTTGCTTTCATTCTCTCCCCCATCTCCTTTTTTTTGACATTTCATT